ATTACCACACTGTTTGAGTTATATGAAGAGAACCTAGAAGGTGGATTCTACACCAAGATCCTTATATAACCAAGACCTGAAGTTCCTGACAATGCTTTTGTGTCTCACAAATAACTTGGTTGTGGAAATACGCATCTTGATTTGCATTGCCCATGTTGTGACTCATCCATTGTTATCCACCAAAAGCCTAAATTAGTGCTCTTCAAATCTTGACCTCGATTCCAAACCCAGGCCTTGTTTTCAGTTCTCCCAGGTAGTTAGTTTAATAATTACTGATTCTGATTGGCCAGAGGCTTCACACCTGACTCACAGGTAAAAGAAGGTTGGAAAATCAGCAACACTTGGACCTTAAGGACGGTGATTTGAATAGACTCAGAATAAATAAATATTTCCCATACTTATTTCTCTAGTATATTGATTCATGTATTTCTGATTATCATCTCAGTGTTTTGTTTTTGCCGTAAAAGACACAGGTTGGGGTACATAATATGATGCTCCATCTTCAGAATTTTATTTAAAAAAAAAGACTAATTTCTGTAATGTAGGTTGAAAAGAGCCACAGACTACGATCACTAAGGATTATCTTTGGCTGTGCATGGATATCAGTCAATATCAGTCCTGCGGTAGCTTCTTAATAGCTAAGATCGGGAGTTGAAAACATGGCTACCTCCTACTCTTTGAGGAGTCCATCTGCTTGAGGTCTGGCACATCACTGCACCTCGGCGACTGACCCCCCACGGCGCTGACTGTCCGTCCCCGTGTTTTTCATCTCACGCGGGGACTGAACTTTAAGTGCCCCTGAGCTGAACGAGAGTTAAAGTGCCTTGAAAGGTGCTGATTGAGCACCTCCAGCTTCTTGTCGAAAAAAAAAAAATTCAGCTTTCAGCGTTTTGCTCCAGCCAAAGTGATACAGGCGTATTACATTTTTAGAAACTGCTTTAATTGCAGTCAGGAGAGCCCTGCCATGACAATAGTAATTCCATGACTTCCTGTTACTGTCTCGTCCCTCAGCTCATATAAATAATTTATAAGGATGCTGTCAGTTAACCTCAAATAATTATTATGCCTTTTTCGCTGGAAAAATAAATGATGAAATCGGTAGCCTTCATATCAAGTATAGCCCTTCGTTAAGAAAAAGATCTGTTATACATTCCTTGGTGTGCATGATTTTATCAAATGGATTTTCAGCACAGACAGATCTGGCACTCAGTGACTGAACTCTGCAAGCCGTGGGGTCTGTGAAACATGGAGGTAAAAAAAGAGAGCAGGAATCTGAGGACATACATCAGTTGTCATCAGACTACTTAGACAGTTGAACTGTGTAGTGGTGAGTTTGACCCAGTCAAGTGCAGTACCTTATTCATAACCTTAAATATAAAAAGATGAACAGATATAAGGAGCTATTTCAGCCTTTTTAAAATGACGCTGGGTTTATGTGACGAGACGAGGGGGGGTGTGGCCATCTTTGGGGGACAGTCAGGTGATCTAGGTGGGTGTGGAGATTTCCGACTGTCCCTCATGATGGATGCAAATTATTGTTTTTTTCCTTCCTTCACCCCAAGTAACCCTGAAGAGATGATAACCTTCACAGCCCCCCAAGCCTGTACCTTGAACCCCAACAAGTTCAGGCATTTCCTATCCTCAGAACCCAAACATCTGGTATTCATTTGTTTTTTGTATTTCTGTATTTAATTAAAGTTCTGTAAAGCCTGTACCCTCCCCAGCCATCAAAAAAAAGGACAATTATCTCAAAACATACATCCCTTTCCCTGTCCTGTCCTGTGTCACCTGCTTCTGTCTGCTGTCCCGAGTTTCAAAATTTAAAACCCATATTTATGTTATTTTGTATTTATTGCTTTGTTTGTTGTTGTTTTTTTTTTAACAGAATGCCTATACAGTATATTCTGTATGTAAACTACAGGAACATACTTTAGCATATATACAATTTTCATTAGTCTTGCTATATACCTCAGACTGGGACGTACTATTGGTATTCAAACTTCATATCCCAGAATTCAAATGTCATATAATAATACCACTTCCTGCCAAGCATTTCCTGAATACTGTGTGCAATGCACAATTAAATCCAGTCACTAGATCTCCGTAGTGTACTAAGTATGTCAATGCACTCGAGTAAGTACAGACTGTGAATTTATCTGGAAGAAAGTGGAACTCAGGGTATGAATTTAGTATTAACATCTACACTTGTTCAATAAAAAATGAACAAAGAATCTTGTACCTGTTACACGTAAAGCTTATATAGAATAGATATAGATAGCACTTTGTTACAACCTCATCAAGAATGTCATACATTGCACATATCACATATACATATATATGCACATGTATATGTATAGCCATGTATATATATATATACACATGAAATAATAACTTGGGTCTGTTAATGTGTCAGATTGTTTCCATTTCCTTTCCATAGATTTTACTCCTAAAACTCAATGTCATGGCTTTTCAGTTTCAGTTTATATATATATATATATATACATATATATATATATACACACATACATACACACACACACACACACATACACACACACACACTTCATGCTAAGCATTTTATAAGCACATCTAATGTCAGTGAAGCTTGCTAGGGCGGTATTAATTTCGGCTCCACAACTGAAAGTTCATAATTTAAAAAAAAGTGCACAAAATGCAGATGACTGAATAGCACTGGAAGGTGGCTCTATACTCAGCCTAGCGGTGTATAGCGCTGAGCATTCTGCCAAGTGACTGCGAGATGTGCTGCTTCCTTAATAGTATTAGGAGTTCAAACCGTAAAGGTTATAATCTAGCAAGAGAAGAGACTCCTTTCTTCGCTTTGATCCCTTTCCGTTTGGTTGTTAAAAGTTGACAGCTCGACTGAATAGCATTCAGTGCTTCCATTTGTATAACATGAGTTTCCCGGTCCATATGGCTCCCAGCTACACCTGGGTTGGGGGAATTTACTTGACATTGCCTTTGGATAACATTGACTCAGTTAGGGTGAAATCACAACATAAAAGTAATTTCAGACTAAGAAGTACCTCCCACCCAGGAACAAAAGCTGAATTAAAGTATGTCCTGGAAAAAATGAGCAAGTAAACTAGTGATGACACAGTTATTATAGGCGTCGACACACAGCTGCATGCAAACTATAGCAAGTAAAATTATTATCAACTTAAATTTAATTCATAATATAAATTAAAAACCATAGTTGCCCTGCCCTTAGGCTCCTTGGTTGTGTTTGTGCACTTTGCAGTGTTTACTGAGTGCGTGTGTGCAAGAGCGAGCCTGCAGCCAACGGTGTGCACGTGCGGAGCGCGCTGTTGCGCGTAGTAGCGCGCGGGGAGGGGGGCGGAAAAACTATTTTAAGGGAGTCTGATCGATGTTTTCATAATGATATAAAAAGAGCAATTACTATTAAATTGCCGTACTGTGTTTTCTGCGGTTGGTTTACGTTTCCCTGCATTCCCACAGTCAAAGTTCAAGAGGATAGGAAATGAACGAAGTTCTGCAAGCTTCGAGCACTGTTCAAATCTGTTGCCCAGAGAAAACGTGAAAGCGATATTAGCACCAGTTAGTTTTGTCAGATCTCATCAGAAGTGAAACTACGGCCAATTAATTATGACCAAACCTAATTATTATTATTGTACTGCGTATAAGGACTTGGTGTTTATTTTAAGGGAGAGTCATACATCTCGCAAAAAATAAATATCTAGTTTTCTTAACATTTCACCCCCAGCTCTTCTTTTGCTTTAAGGTGTCTTCTTTCACCATCCCTGTCATCCCCGTTTCTAGATACTTTCAATCTTCTATCACCACCATCTCTAACCATGCACATTTCCAGCAGGTTATCACGATTGCCATTCCTCCCTCTTTCTGATGTGTTCTGCTGATTACCATCGGTGCCCTGAGATATTTTTAACAGATCCTCGCGTCGCAATATCCACTCTCAACCATCTGGAACAGATCAAAATCACTGACTTCATCTAAGCAGTTAAGTATTAAATCTACAGTATCCTTTTAACAACCACGACCTCTAGTTAGGTGAATTAAATCCACAGAACTCCGAAAAAAGGTGTGTGCGATTATATATTTCCACATATAATAACCACATGGGTCAGCCGAGTTAATTGCACATTTTACTATAACATGCAACTAATCGCACTATTTTCTGCCTGCTTACTAACAGATATTACCTCCAATTAATACAGGCCACAAGTAGCCTATTTCATTAATCTAAAAATCAGCAGTAGCTAGCCTATAGATAATGCAGTAGTGGTCGTGACTTCTGATACGTAATGTTGCAATAACTATTTTAAAACTTTATTGGTAACACCTGCATTAAAGTAAATTACAAAAAGTTACTTCTGGTTCCAGAAATTATTATACCTGCTGAATTATTCAATTCATGTAATTTTTCCGGGTGTTATTTTAAACGGATGCCTAAATTTAGCAATGCTATGCATTTATTAAGTAAAACAAAGACGGTTTTTATAGCAGTAATGGATTTGCGACGTCTTACTGGATATTGCTTTTTACTAAGTATTAAGGAGAGCTCTTCACACATCGTATACAGACCATCACAATACATATAAGTTTATCCTTCTTCGAGTAAAAATATGGCCAAATGAAAAAACATTGTCTTTAAAACTACTCAGGCGAAGATACGTGAAATCAGAACGCGACACTGTCACCCCACAGGTTGAGTAGGTAGTTTTACATCCGGGCTGCTTCTCGGTGTGACTGTTTTTAGTTTCCAGTCACATCTAATGCCCATATTTCTTTACTGTGAGATTATTATTCTGTCAAATATTATCTCCATTAAGCAGCCAAAACAATGACGCCAATTTAACAAAAAAAAAAACACTAAACATATCAATGCCTCCCCTCCCACCACGTTCCACTTCCACACATGCGCGCACATACACGCGCTCGCGCACGCGCCCGCGTACACACACACACACACACACACACACACACACTTTCCCCCCTCTTTCGCTCTCGTCCTTTCACAAAGGTATACCACTAAAGGATTATAAAATGTTCGCCATAATTAGACGTTGACGATAAATTCGGAATTTTTACCTGCAGTGAAAATACGAATGGAAAAAGTTACTTCAGTATTGCGTTTCTCACTTTTACATAGTTCTATTTGCACGATACTCATATAAACTTATACAAAATATCTTATATACACATCTGACACAACATTTTTATAAATGGAAAATTGTGCTATTATTTTAATAGTAAATTTAATTACAATTGCCACTATACTTCAATTGCTTTAATTATAGTTATAATGACAGTTCTAAAAAATTTCGCTATTTAGCATGACACTTGTTTCAGAATCATGTACTTTCCTTTGTTTGTTTGTTTTTGTTTGTTTTTTTCTGAAGAAGAGTTTGAAGTGGAATTTATGGTGGTTTACCTTTGCCTTTATTTTGCATATCCTTCTACTCACCCGACATATCCATGAATTAAAAAGGTAGAACAATCGCAATATTTCCCGTCCGCTTACTTCTGCTAATGATTAAGGTAAAGGTTTACAGAGAATGAAAAACCTCGACAGACCTGCTGTTTAACCGTTTAGTAACTGCTAGTTTTGTTATTTTTATTCATATTTAAATTTTAAATATTCCCCGGACCAACAACTTCTGAATTGTTGGTTTTGTCCGCACTTTTTTTTGGTAATGTGGATTAATTAAAAGGAGATCGTACAGCTTTCAAGTTTATTGTTCTAATGTCAGACAGCTGTAAAATCGTGTAGACAGGTTGTCATACAACAAACAGGGCTTCGGTGAATAGAATCTAATGCTAAACATTTAACGTACAATACACGAAACACGCAAAAAAAATGGTCCCAGCCAATGCTCAAACCACATGCTCCAACTAGGAGGGGCTTGCTGCTCAAGTGGAATGCCAATCAAAGCATCAACTTCAAATTGTATCTGAGAGATCAGCTCAAGACCTAGGGGCAGACACATCAGTTGGAGCTCAATTGTTGATCAGATCACATCCAACGGACTTGGAGCGAAAAACAGAGAACTGAGATTTTAGAGGAGCGGATTCATTTCTGCTCCGTTCTTCAGTGCTTCAACACTTTCAATTTGACTTCCTGATTTTTTTTTTCTTCTTCACCCTGACTCTGCTGTAAGATTGCGGTAGGAAATGTCTTTTTCCCAGTTGGGCTACCCTCAGTATTTAAGTGCCACCCAAGCGATGTACGGAAGTGATCGCCCGGGAGTGCTGGCTGCGTCTGCCCGCAGTGGAAGCTCCGAAATTGGGGGAAATCCGTCGGCTACAGCTGCTGCAGTCACATCGATGTTGGGCATGTACGCCAACCCCTATGCAGCGCACAACTACAGTGCATTTCTGCCTTACACCAGTGCTGACTTGGCTCTGTTCTCTCAGATGGTAAGAGCTGCATTTACCTAATATTTATTTGCGAATCTGCCACCGTTATCGAAGTGATTCGAATTAAATGCGTTATTGGTACTTTTGAGTACGGTGTTCGCGCTGTGAATCAGCCGAAATGTTGCTAAAGCGGAGGACCTAAGAACCAACCTTAGGCGAAACTTTACTTCGCTGCACTAAAATGTCGTTTATTTCATTGTGCCCCATGCAATATTCCATTGCTGATTCTCTTTATTTTTTCTTTTCTTGAAATGTTAATGTTTTTTTTGTTTTGTTTTGACTCTTTCATTCCTGGAAGCCTGCTAAAATCTGTTATTCTATTTTAAAATACTGCGTATAATTTTCTATAAAATAAAACGTAAGTGTATCATAATGAAATTTAGACTTACAGTAACAAACGTGCTATATATATATATATATATATATATATATATATACACACACACACACAAACACACACGTTCAGTATATCAATAACACTAATAATAATAATAATAATAATAATAATAATAATAATGTACTGGCCACAGTTTACAGTGGATTACGTACTTGTACATTAGAAAATACAAAATTGCCAAATCTGCGTTCCGTTTTAAATGCTTGTACAAAAAAAATGTGTTTCTAACATCTAACATCTAGCCTACGAAAGAATTAAACATGGTTAATCATGTAACCTAATTTTATATTAATTCCATCGAGGCTCATTTGATAATTCCATGTTTTTATTTAAAACATACGCAGCTGAATGTATTTTAAAAACGATACCGACACAATATGAGTGTATATCAATTCTGCGTGTACTTTTTGTCAACTTTGCCGTTCCATTGTATAGTCGGCATATATAGTGTGTATGTGTGCTGTTACATGATGATATATATAATACGTGGAGATATCATTTTATATTAATAATTGTCGCAGTGTAATAATAGTACTTGAATCGGTTTATGTCAATTAGAACAATTACGTTTAAATACATTAAGTAATAGTTAATAGTCTACGGCAATAAATGTAGTCAGGTAAGGAGGCATGGATATGATTTATTTGTTCAAGTACAATTACGTAAATGTTATTTGCTATGTATAACTGTGTATGGATCTATATGTATTAGCAATGTGAATCCAAATGAACCAGAACAAATGTTGACAGAAAACATACAGGAATATCTGGCAATAAATTCGCTTCTTTGTATCTTAATGCTGCTGTTATCGTTAGCAACCTTGTTTTGTTGTCGTGACGGGTCAAAACAAACCTTATTTGACCGATGAAGATATGTATAGAAACAGAGTTTATTAAACGTGGAATGATAAGAAAAATAACGATGCATGCCTTTTTTGTCTTTATGTTACGTAATAAAATGTTCTTACTCGTATGTGCCAAATCACATAACCTGTGCTGAAATCTACCAGAACCGGTGTATTGCTGGAAAGGACTTGGCAAAATTGGCGTTGGAAAGTTTTAAGTTGGTTGCCAACAGAGGCCTGTTGTCTAATTATGAAAGCTTAAATATGTATATCGGGAATGTCTGCTTTCCCACAAAGATACATGCTTTTACATCTATTTATAATCATTATTAATAACACCAATAATAGTAATAATAATAGTAATAATAATAATATGTATTGTTTTTCTCTCCAGGGATCCCAGTATGAACTTAAAGAAAGCCCTGGCGTTCATCCCGCTAGCTTCGCGGCTCATACCAGCCCAGCCTTTTACCCATATGGCCAGTTCCAGTATGGAGACCCTGCTAGACCCAAGAATGCCACAAGGGAGAGCACCAGTACACTTAAAGCCTGGCTTAATGAACACAGGAAAAACCCCTATCCGACAAAAGGAGAAAAGATAATGTTGGCTATAATCACAAAGATGACTCTCACACAAGTCTCCACCTGGTTTGCGAATGCCAGGAGGAGACTCAAGAAGGAGAACAAGGTGACGTGGGGTGCGAGAAGCAAAGAAGATGAAGACAGCAACATATTCGGCAGCGATAACGAAGGTGACACGGAGAAGAACGAGGACGAGGAAGAAATTGACTTGGAGAGCATAGACATTGATAAAATTGATGAAAACGACGGAGATCAGAGTAACGAGGACGACGAGGACAAATCAGAGGGCCGGGACAGAGTAGAGCTGGACAGTATGGAGAAGAGACGGGCATTGGCCCTCCAAGCGTTTGATAAATCAAAAGACACGATTTCCGTCGGCAAAATGCCGTCTGATAACAACAGCACTAGAGTACTTTCTCCCAGCGGACAGGGAAGTTTCCAGCTACCAGTAAACAATAAGCCCAAAATATGGTCCTTAGCAGAGACAGCAACCAGCCCCGATAGTTCCCAGAAAGCCACGTCACCCTCTGTCCCTGCCAGTCACGCTTCACCCCAGATCCAGCACCCGGCTTTCCTCCCCAGCCATGGACTGTACACATGCCAGATTGGAAAGTTCCACAACTGGACAAATGGCGCTTTCCTCGGCCAAAATTCCCTGCTGAACGTGAGGTCTTTTCTGGGAGTAAATCAACATCATAATCACCACCTCCATACACAGCAACAGCCGACCTCGGTGGTTGTATCATCTGTAGCGGCACTCAGCAACGAAAAAGTCCCAGAGGAACTCAGTCCGAAGCACATAGGTATAACAAATTGTACTTAAGCCACTGTATTAAATTATAACTTTATTTCGATTGCCTATAGATCCTCAGTGCATTTTTTAAAATAAACCGTTTTAAATTGCGTATACAATTATAACTGAGTACAAAAACGAATAAAAGTCGCATTAACAAAATGACTAAGGTTTTACACGCGACGAGGTTCACGGTTTTTAAAATTTGTGTTGTTTTTAAATGTGCCGTGTGTAAGGCCAGAACAAGACAAGCTTATGTATTGTTCTTTCATTGCATACATTTCTTTTAGAGCGGGAAAGTGTGCAAAAGGCCGAATCCCCGACACAGGCTTTAAAGTCATCTTTCCGACCAGTTCATGACAGGTAAATGAAACTCCATTACATTATGTCTTATTGATTTGGTACAGTATTTGTTCTTCAGAATAATGGGAAAAACCATTACATTTTAAGAATATACTGTATAGGCCTAATCTTTTCGACATTTTATATCAACGTGATCTTGTATTTCGTTTTCTTTCCATTGCCCCCTACACTGAACATTTATTTTTAATTATATTATTTTATTCTCACGTGCCACCGATAGACAGGGGTCGTTTGTGTGGTGGATTAACCCGCATGGTGACATCTTTCAATTTAAACACAAGTCGCCGCTGACATCATAGCGACTCCTATTGGGACCCGCTCAATTGGTTCGTCATGCACGCGAACTGCCGATTAAAACAAGTAGCGCGTTTTTGGTGACCAGGAAGCTTCACAGCTTTCCGCTGCTCCATAATTTCCTCTCTCTGGAGAGTAACTACTTATCAAGTCACCAAGCATAACCAGGGCCTATGCCGCGTGCTAGCGAGAAAACCCAAGGAGAAAAGACCCCAGGGGCTCGTCTCGCTGAAAGGATTTTTCCCATTGGAATGTCCTAATTTTGTACTCCTTAGAGGGATTTTTACATTATACTATTAGCAGGATAATA